CAAATTAGCTGCTGTTCTCCGCCCCCTTTTCCAGAATAGAGCTGCGCTATTACAGCTCAGACCTGTAAAAACCATCTGTTTTGGTTCTGATTATCATGTTTATCGCGCTGAAATCATGCGTTTTAAACCATATTAGTTTAAACATCTGATATACGGTTTTCTAAACGCACACAACCGAAGCACACGGACAGAAAGCGGCTATCACAACATGTGAGTACTAAACAAGTTTTCATTCACACAAGTTTACGTTAAAAACACACGAGTTACAAAAACAGTCGGTTATGTCTGTGAAGGTAAACGGCTGGGAAACAAATCGCATGTTTATTTTAGATCTGTGTGGCAGCAGCAATATACATTAAATAAATCAATAAATCCAGTGCTCTCTTGTCTCCTCTGAGGCTGGGACTCTAAATAGTGTTCTGTGCTCGTCTGTGCAGCCAAAGACAGAACAGTTAGCAAGTTTTGCTCAAACTTTCACCATGGCATTAGGACTGGTACACCGCTGTCGCTTGCGAAATCAAATAAAGGCACCATGGCTGGAAACGTACAGATTAAGGGGCGGACTTGCTCGTTTTTTCAGACGCTTGCAGAAAAAGGCTTACCAAAACAAAGTTACTGGGTTAATCTTTTTCACGTTTCCTTGGTTGGTAGATGCACCGGGGACCTGATTATAGCACTTAAAACCTGGAAAAGTCAGATTTTCATGATATGTCACCTTTAAGTAGATCTCCAGTTTGTTGTTTTTACTCACACTGAAGTAAAAACAATGACACAAGACTCTAAAATCAACACACTGACCTTAACAAACTGAACAGAAGAAATTAATTGGAGAAGATTTCCATGTCAAAGAAGGCGGCGTACCTATTATGTAATCAACATGGACCAATGGTAGTTCGAAGGTGTTTATCTTGGGCAAGTTGTTTCGAAACTCCTGAAAAAAAAACAAGCTTCTTTGGCCTGATTTTGTTCAAAATGACGACACTTGATTTTGCTTAAAGTATAGTCTTGCATTTCTCTTTTGCTCTGCTCCAACAATCAGTTTTCATGCGTGATACACTGTGTCCCATGATTGTAAATTCTGCTTAAAATATATTTAGAATATTCCTTTAGAAGTTGAAAATTCCTTTAAAAGTTGAAATTGGATTGCTTGTTGTGAGTGAACTCAATCTCTCTCTGCAGAATGAACTTTCTGTGGCCCTGTTATTGTGCTAATGCTTTGCGTTAAAGCACTTCTGTTCACCTACTGTATATATTGACAGACTGCACTCAGAGCACTGTGTTCTGCATGACCTTTGTGAGAGGGTCAAGACTCCCCACGTATCCCCACTGTGTCTGTGTGGTGTTAGCGTTGCCTTTCTTGTTTGGCCATCTCTCAGGTTACGGGCTGGTGCAGGAGGAGCTGCTCTCCCCCGCTTCTATGCAGTACAGCCTGCCCTCTCCACTGGGCATCGAGCCCTACTGGCAGGAGGTGTCGAGTCTGGAGTGTGCGCCCATTGCCACCACTGAGGAGGACACCATGATGGAGATGTCAGATGTGCAGGTGTGGCCGGCGGGGGTCAGTCCGTCCCTGGTGACCGTTGAGGATTCGTCCCTGGATGGTAGTAGCCGTGCAGATGACTCAGAGGCCAACACGTTGAGCCTGCCCTGCAGCAGTTTGGGGAGGCCCAGCAGCGGAGCAAGCGGGGCAAGTGGCTCCATCATGGAGCTGGAGGAGGAGGAGGAGGAAGAAGAGGAGATAGAGGAAGACGACATACAGCATGAGCCGGTGTCGGCAAGCACAGAAAAAGCATGGGCCAGCGGTGCCGTCCCAAAGGCCAACTACAATGGGCAAGCTGGAGGTCAGAGGTCGGAGGGCAAGAGGACAGAGGTGGCAGCGGCGGGTGGCAGTTTGATGGGTGTAGCTAGAGGAGGAGGAAAGGGTGGAAAAGGGACAAGTTCAGAGGAAAAGTTTTCTGTTCTTACAGGGCAACAGCTCTACGCTCAGTTGTGCGAGAGAACCGGACTGACCCGAGCCCTTGAACACAATGGGGACAGGTACGGATTACATTAGTATTCCATGTTATAGTTGTGGTGTGGACTATTCTCATAGAATTAGAACCATTATTAAAACTTTTTAATTATCTTTATAGTTCTTGTTGTGAATGGCCCTTTAGACAGACATCTTTACACCGTCTTTGTCCATCATTCCTTTGCAGGCTCAGCGGCGGTGCCTTCCAGCCTTACTCACAGGAGAAAGACTCCCTCCACAGCTGGTCCCAACCCAAAGCGAGGCAGACCATGGAGGCCATGATGTCATCGTCCCAGGACCACAATCAGTCACGTGTAGCACAGGAGGCCCTGCTTACACCGGTATGTGATACAGGCCATTCAGAGGTCCTGCGGGGGCGTCTGCTGGGCACTCAGCCCTTTGATAAAGGGCTGGGCTTCTCCCATCAGGAGGGGGAATTACGTGCATGGGACCAGGACAGACGGAAGGCACAGGTGTGTCCCCTGGGCCTGTCCGGTCTGAGCAAAGAGCATGTTTTTGGGCACAGTCTTGACTTCAATTATTCGGTAATGATAATTAATCCAACAATTATTCCCTACTTGCAGAAGGATGATCCAATAGATCTCACCAGTGATCATTTACATGAAGAGCAGTTTACTGATGAGCATGGGAATGTTGTGACCAAGGTAGGTCATCTGTTTTCTTTCAGGTTTTTTTTAATAGTTTCAAACCAATGTATTGATCTGACTCACCCTTTTGAGATATCATTAATAATGATGGGCAATGTAGTTTTCTGTTCTCTAGTATTTCATAGATATTATTTTATCATTTATAATTGTCTAATTTGTTCCTAATTCATTTATTTTTTGCTATTTGTTTGTTAAATTGTTAAACTACATTTATTCTATATACACAGCCACTCAAAAGTTTGGATCAGTAATGTTTTACAATGTTTGTTTTTTTTTAATAGGTTTTTATGCTTTTCAAAAATACAGCAAAAATGCTTTTCAGCAGTGTCACATGATCGTTCAGAAATTACTCTAATATGCTGATTTAGAGATCAAGAAACATTTATTTTTTTTGTGCTACTTAATATTTTTGTGAAAGCCATAATGCATTTCTTCAGGATTCTTTGGATTATTATATATATATATATATATATATATATGGATGGATGTCTACCACATAATGTACATATTTAGTTTATTTGACTAGACATTTGTTACAGTATATATTATTATCTGCTATTGGCTGTCCTGAACTGATTAAGATTTTGAATCATCTCAGTGATTCTTTGAAACCATTCACCGAAAAAAAAAATTTTTAAATTCATTCACTGATTGATTCAGTTTTGCCTTGTTAAGTTACATCATTACGGCAATAGGTGACAACAAGTTAATGTGTTTTTTATGCGCCGTAAGTCACTGAATCATTTGTGAATGCTTATCATTTATTAAGATTTTCTTGTCTACAAATCTACTAAGAGACTCAAAGAGTGTTTAACAGCACAAGCGTTACCACAAATAACAACAAAGCAGATCTTTTTTTAGTTTTTTGTCAACTGCAGTGCATGGATTTTATTCAAGCTGTAAAGTTGAATGAGATATCTCAGTTCATTAAGTTCATTCAGACTCAAAACATAAGACTTATTTTATGAAGGGCATATTTGTTCAGTAAGTCAAACTAATGAAATGCCCAAATTACCACTAGTTAACAACTAGGACACTTATATAATGATTCAGTCATCTTTTCACTTGTCTCTCTCCTCCCTCCTTCTTTTCTCCAGTTGGGCATGGATGTGAAAAGGGATGTCCAGACTGTGAAGCACTCCAGCCTGCGGAGAGTAAAGCACTGAAATAAACACAAACTGTCCTGAAGGTATGGGACAGGTAAAATGATTGGTGTATTACATAAGAACAACTTCAAACCCAAGGGGCAAGCTAGCTTTGCTGAACTTTGAGTGATTTGGCCATCCGTTTTAGCCAGAGTGACTTTGCTTCAGACAATGTCTCTTTGAATTAGCTATTTGTTCATGAAGGATTGCTCTTCCAGGGTTGAACATCCACTGCCAAACCATCCTTCACCTACGCACGACTGGGAGACAGGATGAGACATGGAGCGATGAGGGAAAAAAACTAAACATGCAGCGAAAGAACAACACATCGCGCCCAAATCCTACAGTCAAGCAACCATGGAGCACCACCGGAAAACAACAAGGAGAAGGAGTTCTCTACCTGTAGTTTTGTAACATTTTTAACAGAAGAAAAAAATAAACAGGGCATGAACTTTTTATACAAAATGTGAAAAAAAAAACACACACAAAATAAATAAGTGCTTCCTGTCAACTGTAAACGCATGACTGACTGCTGCTGCATGACCTATGAGCTGTCATTATCTAAAAAACTGAAGGGGTACAAGGTAAAGGGCCGTTCCAGGACTGGCAGCGGGGAGGGCAAAACCTTTGGACCTTTGATCTTGAAAACGAGAGACTCTTAAAACAAAGGGTCTTGGGAACACAACAGGCCCCCGAAAAAAATAAACAGGGCATGAACTTTTTATACAAAATGTGAAAAAAAAAACACACACAAAATAAATAAGTGCTTCCTGTCAACTGTAAACGCATGACTGACTGCTGGTGCATGACCTATGAGCTGTCATTATCTAAAAAACTGAAGGGGTACAAGGTAAAGGGCCGGTCCAGGACTGGCAGCGGGGAGGGAAAAAACTTTTGGACCTTGGATCTTAAAAAAAAAACGAGAGACTCTTGAAACAAAGGGTCTTGGGAACACAACAGCCCAAAAAAAGCAACAGTTCTTTATTTTGTCAAATTGATTATCATTACACAGCAGCATAGTGGATGCTAGGCCCGTCACATCATTTTCCACAGGCCCTTTATCCTTTTATTCAATGTGATATATGCACTCTAATGCTATGTGAATGTGCGTTGGTGTGTGTGCGTGTGTGTCGGTATCTAACGCATGTGTACTCGCTTCTGGCTTGGTACTAAGCTTTTTTTCTGGATCTGTCAGAGCTCATTTGGTGTTTGCCATGGGAATGACAACAAGTCACTGTGCTCTCCTGCTCGTGAGCGTCCACGTTAGTTTATTTCCACTTTGTGAAGCGTAGCCATGTTCTTTTGAACTGTAAGCCACCTTTTGCTTTTATATCTCTCATTTTGAATTTCAAGCCCCCCCTCTGTTTAAAAAAAAAACGAACCAATGTATTTGTTGCAGGTAGTGTAGCTTTGTACGTAACACCCAAAATGGTAACCTAAGGAGGGCATGTGCTTTCTCTGTCTGACAGTTCACAACTCTAACCTCTGACCTACCGACCACCCGTTCATCCACATTTGTAGCTCAGCTGCTCGACTAAAACCGCCATGTCGGACCGATTTCAGACTAATGTAGCATTGCATGCTGGTTAACACCGCTTTTCATGCTGTTCTCTTGGGCCCGCACTAGGCCTGGATGTTTTTATTTATTTTATATTTATTAATCAAGCTGTGCTGGTGAAAAAAACAATTGTAGCTGTGAAGTGTGGGGCTTGGGGACTATCTCTGAGTAACTGCCTTTGTAATGTTTGGGATTTCGGATAGAGTTTCGCAACAAGGAAGCATTTTAAACTTTGCTCTTCGATTATTCTTTTTTTTTTCATTTAGATGTACAGTTAAAAATAGACTGATAAATATACAGACAGCACTGTGAAAGTCCACCTTAAAATTGACCCCTGAACTGTGAACTCACAACTGTCTGTCTCACTTTTTTGGCTTCAAATGTCTCACTTTTACCAGTACCAACACACACCAACAAGGTTATATGGTAACTATGAGAAGCTTAAACTACTTCTATTGCAACTTCATGTAACCGATTCCCTATTAACGTCATTCGCATGTGTTTTTTAGTTGTTATTCTTTATTTTTTAGTACGAAAGAGCCCAAACATACACAAAAACTCTTGAAGTATAGTCTACCAAAGCAATAATATCAAACGTGCTGCACCAGTTGGAATACTGCGTCGTTGTCGGTGTGTGTGCGTGTGTTTTTCTGTCTACGAGCGCTTGTGTGTTCAGTATAAACTGTATTAACCCGACATTTTAGTAGCATTTGTAAGAAGTATACAATTCAAGAGATATAACAGCATGCATGAGTATCTCACACCGTATGCAATTACGTGATCTACATGCCAACTCGAGTTCACTGAACGGTAGCTGTTTCACATTAATGGACAAGGTTTCTTTGAACGGCTGGCAAGCATAATGAAATCGGGTACGGTCACGGTGCTCAGCATTTAATCACAGCACAGTAGCTTAGTCACGAGCACACCGTGATATACTGGCTCACACATTTGTGTAGTTTAAGTTGAGGGATGCCATTGAGTGAGTGAGTGAGTGAATTAATAAATGAACGTATCCTCCAAACTTAAAAAATTATTTATGGAATGCATGGGCAATTGGACGAATGACAATGATTGTACTTTAATATTTTAAGAAAATGTTTAATCAGATCCTAGTGTTTTTGTTTATTTCTTGAAATTGTGTGCTTTGTGAGACTGCACACATCCCTTTGCATTAAAACACTCATGAGTTCTGCTTTCACTGTATATTGTTTTCTACAGTTCACTCAGGTTTATTTTGACAGATGATTTCTCTTCCATTATTCTACTTAATAATACATACTTAACGGTAAATCCAACATCCACTCAAAGGAGTATAAGGATTATCAGGGGTTTTGGGAAGTAGGTAAGGGAAGTGACCTCAGCATGAAGGACATGGATACATGTTCAATATTTTATCGCTGCTGTAATTGTTGACCGAGACATAAAATTCCTGAAAACAAAAGGGGGGAAAGGAAGATAACGTTTTTATTAATTAATAATTTTGTATTTATTTATTTTTGGAACAAAACGATTTAACATTGCAATCATTATGTATTAAAAACAGTTTATGTACAATGTTTAACTGTTGCAAAAATAGACTTCACCTATACTCCTTTAGAATGGATTAATGACAATATAAACGCAATATCATATTACTCTGTACTAAGGAATGCAACTGCGCACATGCACAGAAAAATATGTTTTTAATAAAGAATATATGTACAAATATATGACAAACTATATTTAATTAGAATGCTATGCACCCTTATTAGAGTTGTTATGGATGTATTTAAGTATATTAGTTAGAATCCAGTAATACATGCCCATGTCATGGGGAATGTTGAGGCTTTGTAGCTATTTGAACATGTTTTCATTTCCCTTTTTTTTTATTGTAACAGAGAGAGGAAATACGAACATTAAATATGTATACAAGCCTTTTATTCATATTCATTCTGATATGAAGATATGTATAGATCATTTACCCTGCACACCAGCTCAGATCATTTACAAAAATTAATAAAGAAAGATGTGACATATTGTGACACTGTGTGCGTGTGTGAGAGAATGTGCCAAATATTACTGATATGCATTTATAAATCTAACGTAAAAGAATGAATGAACGGAGATGGGTTCAAACTCATTTTCAGCTCCCAACTTGTCACCATAGTCAAAGAAAATCTTATGGTGCTGACAAAATAATCATATTTTACATATCCAGTATTAAATGTGCATTTCCACGTTAAATACAGTAGGCCTAGGCTACCTAGTTTTTTCTGATGTTGCTTGTGCACTTAAAGAAAATTCATTAGGAATTCCAAAAATGTTTTTACAGAATGTGTGATAGGCCTACTTAAAAATTATTCGAAAATGACTATTAAGTAACTTTAAAAAAATAATTAGGGGTTCAAGCACGCAGTGCTGAAACCCTATTGTAATTGTTAGAATTTTTTTTATTATTATTATTTTTCTCCGCTAAAACTGATCGTGCAGACCAAACCGTAAGGTGTAGAGAGATGAAACTTGGCCAGAAGGTAGAGCTCCCTGAGGGGACATTCCGACAAAGACTCACCCAAATCGGTCAAAGGGGGCCGCTACAGCGCAAAAAACTAAAATTTCAGACATTTTTGGCCCTAACTCGTGCACCTTTTATCGTAGACTCAAAAAGTTTACATCGTTGCGATCATTGGGTCAACCCGAACAAAAGTGGAGCCAGACAGATTTTCTCTAGGACGCACGGTTTTTCCGTAAAATTGACCTATATCCCAAACCTACTTTTGCGAACTAGTCCTAGGTTTTTCGCCCGATCGGAACCAAACCACTGCAGAAATATTCTCTGGACACTGATTATCAATAATTATCAAAAAAA